TAACTTGAAAAAACCCAAATTTTGTAGATGCATTCAGGAAGTTTTCATATGTAAACCATTCTCTGTAATTTTCCTATTTGCTTCCAGATCTTTGAAAGTGATCCACTGCAGAAAAATTCGATCCCTTAGTAGCATTCGTCGACCCTTAGTGCGTTCAGATTTCGGCCGATGCCAATCATTGCAGCATTGCGGTGGTTCCATAGTCTTGGATTTTTTTTCAATTTCAGTCTTTTCGGTTAGATCAAACTTTGCTTTTTTTTCTTTATCTTACCGGATCGACTGATTGCTCCTCATAATTTTGCTACATTATGTTCACGATTGTGCCAACCGATTGCCTTAAATTTTTGGTTTATGCCGTTTAATTGAACAACACTCATTCTCAATACCAAAGCGAGCTGGTGATTCGATTCGTATAACGTTTTATGGTCTAGATCTGAGACTTTTGTCATGCAAATTGGGATTAAGAAAAGCAGGAAACAGGGCATCAGGAAATTCGATTAAAATACGTGCTTTTTTGGCGGCTTGTTTTGATTCCAGCAAATTGTTTCTGCGAATTGATTTTCGGGGCTAATTCTTCAAAGCTGATTTCAAGTTTTTTCGGTTTTGTTTAGTAAAAAAACATAAAGGCATGCTCGTTCTGCATTACTAGATTTAACGTTGATTGATTTAACCTGATGGAAAAACAAGCGCTGAAATCAAAAGCTAGCCTAAATCTAACCTAAATTTGGACGCTGCCTAAATTGAAACAAAACTACACGTAACTTTTATTTGAGATTTTTTGTGAAAAAAATCATCCTCCCGCTTGCCATATGAAGTTCAAAGTAATCAGTTTGGCTCCTAGTAACAAATTAATAAGGGCAAATAAGCAATTTCTAAGACGAATTACATCTCCGCTTACGCGCCAATAGCGTGAAATATATCGCGCGTTGAGTGTCTTAAATTGGCCAGAATGGCAATCTGTTAACTTCCATAACTTAACGAAAAAAGATCAGAAGTGAAATATTTTTTCAAATTTAAGCTCAAGACAACAATCCTTTTTGAACGATAGTAAAAAAATCAATAAAAAATGGCTATTTAAAAAGTCAAAATTTGTCTGAAGTATTCCGTTACTTTCGTTAAGAAAGTCGGAATAAAAATATATCAGAGGCAGCCAAATTAATCTTTTTATAAGTGTTTTTTCCACTGTCAGTTCTTACGAAAATTTTTCATAAATTGTTGTTAGAATAACAAAATTGCTGCCACATGGATTGGGAGATTTAACTTTTTGTTCCAACTTTTGCAGAAAACGGAATACTTATGCACAGTGTGGTTTTTTTTATATGTCAATTTTCGCTGGTCAAAAACAATTCTATATCCCATTTAAGATATCGACTTCCTGAGTTCAAATTTAAAAAGATATTTAACCTTCGATTATTTTTGTTCTGGAGGTTTGAAAATTGCCAAATTGGACATGTTCTGGTCTGCGCGCTAAATAATGCGCTCTTTGAAGAATTCATTCATAATGCTGAGACCGTAACGCGAATTATTTATGCGTGGCAAATAATCCATTCTAAATTAAATTGAGGCTAGCTAATCGATCGTATAAAATCGTACAACTCAAAATTTCATACTTTGATATTGTCCAAAATTTATAGGTTTTAATTATTTTTTTTTCATTATTTTCCAAAAATTATTCGATATGAATTAAGGGACATTCAGAACATTCAGGGATTTGCCCTGATTTACGAGCAGTCTTGTTTGTCATGTCTGCGTTTTCGTTGAGTAGTTTTACCCAAACTTCTTCTCGTTGCAAGATCAAGTAAATTGCGCTTTATTCAGTGATGTGTTGAGTTGTTCTTGCTACTGCAACCGATAATTTGCAACTATCGTTTACATTTTTCGCAGCTTAATCAATTTTTTGGGCTTCAGTTTTGCCGACAAAGATTTCGTGTTTTTGACTCCCTATCGCGAAAATTGTAAATTTGCGCATGTTTGAGCGAAACTGCGAATAGGGTGAAATTAATAGTGAAACAAGCGGAAAATTCTGCGCCTTCCATGGTTAAATTTCAGCAAAATTTGATAATTTCATTTTTTTTCACGGGTCATTTTCCACCTAAAGCTTGGAAAAATCAGTATTATGTAAAACTTTAATACTGTTCAAAAGAAGAAACCGATTGATTGTCAATTCAAAATTGCATATAATTGGCTGATGTCAAACAACTTGTGTTCAGAAAATGTTTCAGAACTACAAAAAAAGGCTTCAGAATATATATTTTTTAAATTTTTGCTGCTGTACTTGCCTCATAGTTCAAACATTTTTAAGCTGTTTTTATTAAACCCACCTAGTTGTCTGATTTTCTCTGGAAGTTTGCAAGCTTTAGGTGGAAATCGATTAACTGAAATACTCAGTGGTCCTTCCAGGCAGTGGTTTTTTTGTGAGTTATCTCTACTCTATTTGCTATAGCTGGTAAAATAATTCTCAAAATAATTTCATCTCTACCATAATAGAAATGGGGTTTTTTGGTTCGAGGGATCTTGCGGCATCAACTTTAATGGCATGTGTGACATCAGGGGCGGATTTAGGGGGGCGGGGTCGGACGCCCTTTCTCCCCTCCTCAGGGATTAGACCCCCTGCCGACCCAAAGGGTTCCCCTATTTTAACATATCCATTTTTGGCTGACGGAATTTTTTGACCCTATAATTTTCCAAAAAAATTCCAAAAAGTGCCTAAAAACGCTACTTTTCGCCTGTTTTTTCAACATTTTGCCTGCGGCGCAGAAATTTTGACATAAACAGGGCGTTTTGACTGCTTTGGGAGAGCTCGGGAAATCATTTTGGTCGACGGAAAAAAACTGAACGACAAAGATTTTTTTTTGAAAACCCGACCCCCCACTCGAGAAAATCGTAGATCCGTCCCTGTGTGACATCTCTAGTTTAGATACAGAAAAGCCTCCCCCCCCCCAAAAAAAAGGCTTAAGCCAAACAGAAAGATGCACATTCAGGCGTTAGGACAGAGGAACATACCAACTTCTAAATTAAAGCTACCAAATGGTGCATTTATGTATTACTATTATATATACGTTTTCACTTAAGTAAAAATGTATCCAGAGATATTCCAGTAGTAACATTATGGTTGATTTATTTAATTTTTCAGCGATATAGCTCTTTTATCAGGACAAAAGATAAACACCGCATCGCATGACGTCAAAATGCATAATTTTACTATTTTTTATGCATTGTACACGCTGACAAAAAAAGTGGTAGCGGGACTAGAATAAAACATGCTGCTATAAACAATTTTAATTCGCATAGGCGAAAAAATGTATAATATAATAGTTGAATCTACTTTTTGAATCTACTTTTTCTTCTTAATTTTTCTGTGCTCTGCCGCATATTAGAAATACACTTCCAATTTATTAAACAGTGAATATGCATATTTTATCACCAACGCATATGCATAAAAGAGCAGTTTTGTGATAGATTAAAAAATAATACAAAACATCGCTTTTCTCAATAATTACTTTATTCTTGGTGCGTTGGCCACTTCAGAGAAAAACATGTGTTCTAGCCATTAATAATTTTTTTTACATTCGATTCAGTTACTTCTGTTTGATTGTAATACCGAGCTAGAGGTAAATATAAATCATACCCATTTTGGTTGCTTTATTTTCATATTTTCATAACTAAGTCTCAGCCCATAGTTTACTGTTACTTCGAGTGAAAAAATAAAACCGTTGTGCTACTGTTGCCAATTTTTGTTTCAATTTTATCAGAAAACAAAACGTTGTTATAACAACACCTCCGCAAAACCAATAAACCGTCTATCGTCGCCTTTGTTTGTTGCTCAAGATAAACTGTAAGTTGATTTTTCTTCTAATTTAGCCGCCAGAGTTCCGCCAAAAGATAATTTTTCAAACTTAACTAACCCGCGTCTTAGTCGGACCCGTCTAGCAATGTCCGTTAAGGTCGAAGAAAGTCAACAAGACTGCTCGTATCAGGGCGAAGCCCTGAATTTTCCGACTGCCTTTTAAGGTTTATGAAGCCGTAATAACATTAAAAATCAATGAAATCAAACAAAATGAAAATTTTTTTTTAAATTTGAAATTTTTAATGAAAATCATCCCCCCACACGCCATATAAAGTATAAAAGGATTGATTTCGCTCCTGTAACAAATCAATTATGGCAAATCAGCTTCTTTCAACCAATTTGGAACGATTTCTAAGACGGATTAAATCTCCGCTTACGCATTAATAGCGCGAAATATATCGCGCGTTAATTGTCCCAAATTGGTCAAAATGGCAATCTTTAAACCCCCGTAACTTTACGAAAAATGATCACAGGTAAAATATCGTTTCAAATTTGAGCTCAGGACAACAATACCTTTCGAATGATATTAAAAAATTCCGTCAAAAATGGCTAGTTAAAAAGTCGAAATTTGTCTGAAGAAAAAAAAAACCCACCCCGAGCACAAATATTCCGTTACTTTCGTATCAAAAGTCGGAACAAAAACGAACATCATTCGACCATTTTGGTCGAATCATGAGTCGAGCACCTCAGCCAGGGTTTCGAATTTGGGGCTTATTCTTCGAACGAAGCGGGTCGAACATATGTCAGTATTCGATCGAAAATCCCTGGTCGAAAAGGCCATACTGTCGTCAAAAGGAAAATGGAAACATCAAATCCAGTCGGTCCAAACAAAATCGAACACCAAGTCGAAACATAAAGTGCCGAGTCGATCAAAGCATACATTCAAGACTTACTACTTCGGGGAGCGGTCGTGAAGTGGTTACGTCTCTGCCTGACGATCAGAAGGACGGGTGTTCGAGGCCGACCATGATCCGTGCGCGTTGCTGGAGGGTCAGGCAACATTACCCAGCCCAAAAAAAATGAAAAAATTAGCATGTAGTTCTTAAACAGGGGCACAACAGCGGCTCGCCGTGATGAGCTGTACTGCTCGTATGTTGGTCCTTTCCCTCGTAGATAAATGGCCTTAAAACATTCGAATAGTCCAACCCAGATTCGCACGAGCTTAGATCTATGCATTGTCAGAGATGCAAAAGTCAGAGATGCAATATTTTGTCAATAAAAATGAGTATAAAGTTTTGAACTTTTTTTCCTCAGTCAAACACGGTTAAATTATTTCCTTGGTTGAACATAGTCGTCGAAACAATGACTTGGGTCCTGACGGAGCCTGACAGAAAACAAGACTGCTCGTATCAGGGCAAAGCTCTGAATACTCCGACTGTCCCTTAATTCATATCGAATAGTTTTTATGAAAAGAAAACATTCAAAACCTATAAGTTTTGGACAATATCAAAGTGTGAAATTTTGAGTCGTGCGAAAATAATACGACCGATTACGGGTTTAATTTTATTTTTGAAATTTTATTATTTCAAGCGGCGAAAATTGACCGAATGAAAAAAGCACACCGAGCATAAATATTCTTCGAAAGTCGGAACAATGAATAGATTTATTTAAAAAAAAAGTATTTTGAATTTTCATGTGTCATGTAAGATGCTTATTTTTCAATAACCTAGCTCTATATGACGCGCAGTATATGAAAAGAGAGAAACACGGTCGTTCGTATATCAGGGAAAAGCCTTGAATATTCCGACTGTCCCTTTATTCATATCGAATAGTTTTTATGAAAAGAAAACATTCAAAACCTATAAGTTTTGGACAATATCAAAGTGTGAAATTTTGAGTCGTGCGAAAATAATACGACCGATTACGGGTTTAATTTTATTTTTGAAATTTTATTATTTCAATCGGCGAAAATTGACCGAATGAAAAAACCACACCGAGCATAAATATTCTTCGAAAGTCGGAACAATAAATAGATTTATTTAAAAACAAAATAAAGTATCTTGAATTTTCATGTGTCGTGTAAGATGCTTATTTTTCGTGTTTCAATTACCGAGCTCTATATGACGCGCAGTATATAAAAAGAGAGCAACACGGCCGTTCGTATATCAGGGAAAAGCCTTGAATGTCCCGTCTGTCATGAACTGGCCATAAGCAGAGACGGTGCATCGACTAACATAAGGGTCGACATAAAGTTGTTAAATTGAGAGTTTACCCCTCCCTCGAGAAAATCCTAAATACGCCACCGCTCCCCCTCCCCCAAAAAGACTGCTTTGAGGGGAGGATGTTAACTTAGTACCTCAGTTTTTTTTGCACATTTAACAATTTTCGCGGTGATCAGTGTTTGGTTCAAGCCATTACAGGCAGTTCGGGATGCGGCTGATCACGATTCATCGGTTAAAAAATTTCATTTGCTGGATTCATTTCTCAATCGCTTAGTTTTCCAATTTTGAGTAATGTTCGTATCAATTTGAACGGATTATGGTTTTGTTTTATGGTTAAAGCTATCAAAATTATGCTAGTTGATACATTTTTCACTTTTCACGTTTTCAAATTTTTATTCTAGTCAAGCTTTATTCTACTAATTATTAAACAGTTTGTAAATAGTTTTGGAGCTAGAAAAGTTTAAAAAATTAAACATTTAAAAGTATTTGGTTTTTGTGCGTCAACAACAAATTTTTATAACTATGTTAAAATTCGATTGGCAAATTGAATCAATATGTTTAGAACACTGAATAAAACAAATTTCGAATTTTAAACTAGATTTTATCACAGAATTTTTGGATATCAAACAAAAGGTAAAACAAAACTAAGAAGATATTTCACCTGTGATCAATTTTAAAAATTGTAGGGTTGCAGGTTGCCAATTTGGGACAATTTCCGCGTGATATATTTCGTGCTAGTAACGCGTGAGTGGAGGTTGAATCCGTCGCAGAAGTTGTTCCAAATTGGTTAGAGCACGCTATTTGACATAATTGATACTTTACTAGGAGCAAAACCTATCACTTTGTATTTTATATGGCGTGTGGAAGGATGATTAAAAACTTTTTTCAATTCAATTTTTTTGAACGCATCAGTTTTTGCGAACACTGCTCCAATGGCTTAGAAAAAAGCAGTAAAAACATTCAAGGCTTCGCCCTGATACGAGCAGTCTTGTTTAATTTTCAGCATCACATATGAAATCTTAAAATCATAAATTAGTCCAGAACATTGCCAATCTGACAGTTTTCAAACCCACAGATCTTTACCAAAAAATATTACAGGTGAAGTTTGTTACATTCTTTATGAAGGAACCGATATTTTATTGGCTTTCAAAAAATTGTCGGTAAGGATAAGATCCATTTTTTAGATAGTCGAAATTGGTCAGAAGAAAAAAACTCCAGGCATATAAAATTTTCATTTTTTTTCGAGGATACCAATTTTTTCCTTGTCAAAAAATCAGGTACATGTCGAATTTTTGAAGGAAACTTCTAAAAAATTGGATGTTTGATTTTTTTAGTGGAACAACTGTGAACTTGTTACTTTATATTTGAAACAATTATAAATTCATGATTGATTAATTAGCAAGATTTTATTTTTAAACAAGTAGCAAGACAGGCATGTCTGTGTGGCACAAAAAGAAGCGCCATGAGAATGCCTGCACCCTTGGATCCCATAAAGCATATTAAAGCTAGTAAGGCCAAGGTTACAAAGCAGTCGGCTAAAACTCCAATAAAAGTTATTCAGTTCCTAAATTGTGTGACTTTTTTATGAATTTCCTTGCGAATTTAAATCCCTTTTGGATTACAAAATTCAATCGGCGAAAATAATCTGTAAACGTGTGGAATTCACAATATCTCTAGGCCGACCTCTCACTCTGTTCCGCGTCGCCGCAATATGTTTCCCTTTAGCACTGGGTCGGTGGGGCAACCAAATCCCAGTACTGTTTACAATCCCAAAAGGGTTGATTTGGTGGATAGCCGTTCTGTATCGTATTATGCTGCTCGCCCCTTGTTTGTGCTCTTTCGACTGTATCTCGCTCGCAATCAATAGTCAATCGCAACAACAATTCCAATAATAATAATGAATTAAGAAATAATCAATCCAAATACAGAATAGCCTATAAGTGGCTGGAACATAAATTAATCATTCAACCAAAGGAATGGGTCCGCGATTACTATTATTCAACCAACTGCCTCCTGCAGTTCAATTAACGCCTAACTAATATCTAATGTTCTCCTCGAGAACTTCTATCAATTATCAATCGTTCGGCAACGATTCCGCTATCCTCTAGATAGCCTAACTTACTTCACTAACTAATCTACTTTAACTTTCAACGAGTAACTTAACTCGTTCTCAATAACTCTGAGATACGACTCGTTAACAATTAACTCCCAATCGTTCTGACGCCTAAAGGCCGTTCCGCAACATCCGTGCCTTATGTCTATTTACTCTTAGTTTTAGTTAGAGATCCGTCATTCCGTATAAGTCTTAACATTTACCTATATGCCTCCTACGCAGCGTTCCAGTTCATAAATCCCGCATGATCACATTAATTTAAATGCCAAGTTCAAAATGCCAATCAAAGCTATGCTAAACAAATAACAAGTGCAACTTCAACTTAATTCAAGCTATGTTTACATATCCAAATACCCAAGGACTTTATTTAATTATCCCGCATCTTTTCCTTTCTCCCATGACTAGGATAAATTCCCAATGAACTTAATTTCCTAATTATCGCAATCCAAAAATTCCAATACATAACCCATTCAAATTTCAATCTAATCGGCCTTCAGGGTAAGCCGTTCCCTCAACTGGGGTCCAATTGAGCCAATAAAACATTCCCCAGAAGCCAATGGAATATCCAGTACATTTCTAATATTTATGTTAATTAATTCCCTATTCCCTCTGTCATATTGCCAAATTAATATGTGACTACTTTTCTGTGCCATTGACGCATTTCTATTAATAGTTCATTCGCCAAGTCAAAATTTAACCCAATGTTTATTTAA